ATGTAGTTATATGTAGTCAGGTAATAAGTTTGTTTGAACTTGGAAACGACAGGACATGCATACAAATCTCGAAACTGTTACCTGTCATCGGTGCCATGTGTATGCCGCTATTGTCATTACAGTGTGTTGTTTTGTCCTGTATTCAGTATCAACATAGCACGTACATACGTGACCTTCAGTTCAGTGGTCACTGATAGGTCATCTTTAATTTCATTCTTGATTTTTTTATGCAAGAGGTACCGACATTAATACATTTACATAATACATGATAAAACTGCATTGTTGCCTTATTAACATATTCCATCAAGCGCTAACAGGTATGACGATTAAAAATACATGTATATATATTCATAATCTAACATTAAAGTCACAGTAACAGAATCCTTCGCTTTCTCTTGTAATCATTATAGAATTCAATCTTCTTTCAAGACATTTTAAACAAGGAAAAATATTACAGGACTGTTAATATATACATATTTATTTACATTTTTGTTTCTACTATATTAACCTATTCAATCCATAAAGTTATGTTTTGATATGATATGCAAAAAGGTAAAATGGAATATAATTGTAAATGAAGGGAACATTTAGAGTAATCACCTTCATGCAAGTTCTCACAGGTGATCGTTGGAGACCTATAACAGATGCTACATGTGGTGTAGGAACTGTGGCCTACTCTACTCTGTGTGAGTTAGGAAACTCTAATTAGCAATGTCACACCCATAGTAAAACCGTTCAAAAGAAATTATCGTTCGGGAAAATCCCAATGAAAAATTAGCATTGCTTGAAACCACAACTATTTTGGAAACAATAAGATGCAAGTATAAAGCTATTAAATAACACCTTGTTGATAGCAATCGTAGGATAACTGGAACATAAGATAGATAACACCTTGTTGACAGCAATCGTAAGATAACTGGAACATAAGATAGATAACACCTTGTTGATAGCAATCGTAAGATAACTGAAACATAAGATAAATAACACCTTGTTGACAGCAATCGTAGGATAACTGGAACATAAGATAGATAACACCTTGTTGATAGCAATCGTAGGATAACTGGAACAAAAGATACATAACACCTTGTTGATAGCAATCGTAGGATAACTGGAACATAAGATAAATAGCACATTGTTGATAGCAATCGTAGGATAACTGGAACATAAGATAAATAATGCCAGTAATATGTGCAACAATGAATTACGAGTCTGGTATCACTTGCTTAATTGACAGTTGTGGCATTTCATAGATGTTCGATGGTTGGCGCACTAAGGTCTTGAGATCTACATAAGCGTTTATCTGTAATGTACTTCTGTGAAACATGGTAGAATTGACATGGCTACTATATAACAAAACAGGTCCTAACATTGAACATTGACTTACGTAACCATCTTTAGTTCTCGGTCGCCATGTAGTAGTTCTACTGGTTGATTTCTTAGTTCCCAGAGGTTTGCCGTAGTTCCCCGAGGTTTGCCGTAAGCCAGAACAAATCTCTTTTGAGTAGCGTCACGGTTCATAATATACACACTTTACTTTTTATGAAATTTGAAATTAAATTTTGAAAACCATATAACTGGAGTTTTTTATGCACCTTGAATTTAAGACCAATTTAGATGTCCACCTTATTGGCCCGTTTCATCACCGATGAGTTAAGGAAAAACAAAACAAATGTATGATGCAGTATAATTCATTTTGGCATATTGCATCTATTGCCATATGTTTAAGATGCAAACACCTGCGTTCGTGTTACCTTTACCTTTCAAAACATCTTAGTACATATAGTATCTATATATCATAATTAAAAATGTTTAATGTGCTAGCCTTGATCTTTATAAGCTGTTACATGTACTCTCTTTTTAAGATATATATACCAATATCCACATATCTGGCAAATAATTTATTAATATAAGATGTTTTATTAGTATGTCTGTGATAAAGTTGTAATTGTAATTTTACTATCTGATATTTTACTAACAAGAGGAATATAAGCTTTTTGAACAGGTTTTATCCTCAGAAAATAAAGTTTATTATACTTAGTATTAGTAGTAGTATGTGTAATTAATTGCCAACAAACGACAAATATAATACCATGAATGCAATGCCACTTTGTATTAAGATTACACCAATGACAAAATTAGAGAGGCCTTTTACATGGTTACTAATGCTGTCATTATAGAATATTTGGAACATTGTATATTTTGAGAGGTGGCATCAATATAAATTTACGTAAAAATATAAGTATTGCTTAGTGCAATATAACATCAATAAAACTAACATAGTTTACTGGTCCCCACTTTTCCTTTCATCTCCCACACTCCAATCCACCGGCTTGCCTTTTTTTCCTATTTGCAAAACATGTGAGCTCATACATGTAAATATCTTGTAATATTGCCGGAGATGAATTTTGTAATTTGCAAATTCCTAACTCAGTCTCTTTGTTTACCGTAATTAGTAAAATATATGTTAACACTAAAGTATTGTCTATATTATGGAAATTTCAAACGTTTTGAATGAAAACAAAACCAGGAGAGACTTAAAAGGGCAATACAGAACAGTGAACAAACCCGTGTGTCTAACTCTAAATCTAGAAAACTAAGGAAAAAATGAACAAAGGGAAACAAGCAGAGAAATATAAGACCAAGTGTTCCGGAAAGGTAAGCGTCTTCGGCTTCATCAACAACATCCGTCCTGAAAATCTAGGTCAAATCCAAGTAGCGAAAACGACACCGTAAGACACACTAGGCATCATTTGCTTGGAGTATAACTTGTTCCGAAATTGATGTTAAGGTATAGCAAAATGTAAAAGGTTCCCATTAAACCTTTTCAACTGGTAGTCCACCAGCACAGTGCACCACGTACACTGATAGGTTCCCATTAAACCTTTACAACTGGAAGTCCACTGGCACAGTGAACCAGGTACATTGATAGATTCCCATTAAACCTTTACAAATGATAGTCCACCAGCACAGTGAACCACGTACATTGATAGGTTCCCATTAAACCTTTACAACTGATAGTCCACCAGCACAGTGAACCACGTACACTGATAGGTTCCCATTAAACCTTAACAACTGATAGTCCACCAGCACAGTGAACCACGTACATTGATAGGTTCCCATTAAACCTTTAAAGCTTATAGTCCACCAGCACAGTGAACCATGTACACTGATAGGTTCCCTTTAAACCTTTACAACTGATAATCCACAAGCACAGTGAACCACGTACATTGATAGGTTCCCTTTAAACCTTTACACCTGATAGTCCACCAGCACAGTGAACCACGTACATTGATACGTAAATAATCGCAACAAATACGAAGTATGCAAACTGTTATTTGAAAAATCAATTAGTCGAAGAAGATAGTCAAACAAAATAAACAGTTATTTATATATTTCTTTAAATAGTATTTCATGTAAACCGTGCAGAATGAATTCCAGCTACATGTACAGGTTTTGTCAAACCTTCGAAACTGATAACCCACCAGCAGTATAAATATAAAATATTTAAGTAATTTGCCTAAGACCCATTTATATTCGTTGTTGGTGCAGATTTCCATAGTTGACGAAATTGTTAAAGAGATAGAGTAACAACATACTCCTAATGTACTGACATAGTAGAATGTTCAGTCATGTTATGTGTCAGCTATTCACAGTACTATGTAGTGTACGACAACAACATGTGTACAGTTACAGATGTAACACTTGTCTCTCATAATTCTTTATAGAATGGCTTTTAATCATTTTAAATATGTTTTATGTATCTATCAAGTGTGTATATGTTATGTAGTATTGAAAAGTGAGACTTTAATAAAATATCTATGTCTATGTCTGTGTCATGTTTTTGGGAACTTACCAAAATACGTTATACTTATAGTATAATCATCTGACAATGACTAATAGAATCTTCCCCTACCCGGAGGGTGTGACAGAGAAATATCCAACCCGAGGGGTTATGTTTGTTTGGTTGTCTAACCCGAGGGTTAGACAACCAATAAACATCATCCCGAGGTTTGGAGATTTTTCTGTTACACCCTTAAGGTAGGGGACGATTATTTTTCTCCCATCCTATTATTTCAGTCACAACTCTACCGAAAGTTGTGTATACAACAAAAAAAAATGTTGGGTATGTATGCCTTCATTCACTTTTGATGATATCACACTTACCGGTGACGCATTTTAATGACGTCACAATTGAACACGTGCTAATAGGCACGAGACTATCGATCTCCCCCTAGGGATTGACACGCTGATATTGATCTTTCCCGGCTTAAACGGGAGATACATCTGTGAAGGGTGGGACAAAAAGACAATCCAAAAACATCCGCATAATTATTTTCTGGTCTGTCGGCATTTAGCAAATCATCCTAGGACTATAAACGTTCGGCAAAGACAGAGGAGATCATCATGTTATCATAAGATTCGTGCTTGATCTTTTGTTTTTATATTAAGATGATGTCTTGTCTTTGAACAACAATATGTTGGGGAACAACTTATATGTCATTTATCCGGAAGAACTTGAAATTAAAATTAAAGAAACATTACAGCCAAACCCTATGACAGGCATGCATGACAACATCAATTTGACGGTCGCTAATTCTCATTTCTTCAATAGTAAAATTCGAGCCTAGATCCTTTTTATGACGTTTACATGTTACAGTTTATTCACCACATCACAGCCAATTTGAATTTTCAAAAAGCAAAAGCAAATGCTTTATTGCTGAAAGTTTTAAATAATTCTTAGCTACTGGTTTTCTATATGACCTGTATTGATAATTATTGATGGAAATAATCTGTTGCTTTTTTAGTTTTTTAAAGAACAGCAGCCAAACAACGTTTTAATCGTTAGAAACTTGAAAGAAAATCATTAACTCTCAATCTATTCTTCTCTGGCTTGTGATTCACAATATTTAATTTCAAGCATGAGTTGACCCATTATCCGGAAAAGACGTCGGTTTTGCTTTTACAATTAACATGATTTCAAGCGTAGAATAGATCTTGATGTGTACCGAAAAACAACATGGTGTGGACCGAAAAACAACATGATGAGGGCGAAGAGGAATGATGGAGAACAGCATGCTGAAGTCAATCGGATATGTCTTTGTCAGTAATGCTTCATTGACACCATTCCAAATTAAGTTTTCAGAATGCAACAACAATATGTTGTCGAATGTATACTATATATTTAGTACACATTATTTCAAGTTCCGTTATAATGGATGTTTCGGTATCTAAATCTGACCGCTAAATTCGTACCTCTGACTGGTATATTCACAGAACTGTTGGTTTTTGGCACAGACTGATTAATCCGGATAATTAGCATAAACGTCTTCCAACATTAACAATATTCTAGATTAACCAGTACACACTCCTGATGTTCTGCATTTTACTCCAATGTGTCCACCATTATAACGTCACTGTATCCAAATGGGACACTTTTATAGTTTTTAGATAAATATCAATGTTCTTTACAACATACTATCAGCTCCAAAAATGTTTGTTCATTTGTCATAAATAGATACTATCCAATTTTCATTTCTATTACAAGTTGGTATTTCGGGCGCGTGGTTCTATAAATAGAACGCGAAATACTATCAGGGTTACGTAGGACCTTGAACAGGTGTTACAGTACTGTACCCTAAATAAACAATCAATATCAACAGAAAAAAAATTGTATAGTTGAAATATTTGAAAATCAAAGAAGGTTTTGATTAAATTTCTTCTCCAAACTAGCCTTAGTTTGGATAAAATGGACTTTTGAAAATTGTCTATGTAATGATAATCAGCAACCAATAAAGTTTATATATATATATAAATTGTCATAAAAGTATTATCAAACGAAAACTGCATGCATTAAAATACTTCTTAGTATTGCATGACAGTTTCTTGGCGGCAGCACGATTTACCCAAATAGACCCAAAAACACTCTTTCCACATTATTTGACATTGGTAGCCTATGTTTATTTTGTATTTCATAAGTACATTTCATTTGCTCTAAAGAGGCTATTGTTTGATGTGTTAAATTTGTACTTGTTTTTTTAAGGTTCTAATTATTTCAATCTATTTTGCATTTTCACATATAACATACTCTCATAATTTTGAATTGGAGGACTTCACAGTTGATGCAGAAAATTAGGTTACTACATTATAATATTAACTGAATATTATTTAAGTGTCGTCTGTGTTTTTTTTGTTGTCTTATCTGGATGTTTTTAGGGTCTTTTGGGTAAATCGTGCCACCCGTTTCTTGGACCGTTTTCCCACAAGTGTCCTGTTTTTGGTACTGTCCCAATTTGGGTACAGTGACGTTAGCCTGAGTTTCCTCTGGCCCTGACACCAGACTTAGACATTTTGACAGATAGATGTCTGGTGTGGAGCCAGAGCGCATAACTATATGAAAACGTGGAATTGCGGAGTGACTAATCAACAAAAAGATGCAGTCAAGAAATTTTCTAATCAAGAACAATATTTCCCGTTTTTGGTCTGGATCAGTTCTGTGTGTTGATTAGTCATTCCCGGTCCCATGACCTGCAAAATGGCGTTCGCTCAGTTGGGAAGTTTTGAACGATTATAAACCTATAGGACACTACTGATGGAATTTAGCAGCTGTTGGTGATAATAAGTGTGGTTTTGGATGAATAAATAATCCATCTATCGCTATATGTGAGGTATGTGTTGTGTCATAGTAGATTTTTGTTGTCACCACCTCAAAACTCCCCGATACCAAACAGTGTCGGAGAATTCCACGTTTTCAGGAAACTCGGGCTACCACCATTACTGAAAATATATCATTGATTCATCAAAAGTGTATTGCAGGTAGAACTACAAACAAATGCAGTGATAGATCACACATGTGCATACAACTATAAATTATTGGTTTTGTTTACAGGCCATCAGCCTCTGGACACTTATACCCTGACACACTACAGGCACCATGCAAGCAACTGATCAATATTTAATGATTATGTGGGTGGAGCTAAAAGGGTTTCTGTTCTGTAGGAAATTTATCCATTTTGGTTTTTTTTTCAAAAGATAATCATATATTTTCCCCATTTTGAACACACGACATTTTTTTCCATAAAGCAAAAAAAAACCGTTCTGATCAATGCAGCATGGATGCTGAAATTTCTAAAACATTTCAGATTTATGATAATACATGTATTTAGTAAATAATGATGGATATAAAATATGCATGTATATAAAAATATGTATGTTGCTTGTTTATTTAGATGTAGTGACCAGTGAATGACTGAACTGACCAGTCAACATGACCAGCTAGCTGAACTGATTAGTCAACTGTGCTGACCATCAAAGTTAAACTGACCAGCCAAATAATGCAGCCACCTGAATGACAACATGCACAGTCAACAAAAGATCCTCCCCCAGTGATGGCTCAGGTCCACCACACCCTGTGTAATTATACACACAGGTTGTTAGGCAGACACTGGCGGTCAAAGGTTAAACGACACAACTGTCGTAGACCAATACATGTGGGTAATGCATGTTTGTGTGATCATCAGAAAGAGAATGCTAGAAAAAATGAAATTGGCATTCAAATGTTATCACCTAATCTTCGTGAACAGTTGTTTGGCAAAGAAATTGAACAAAAATCTGTGACAGATAAAAATGAAGGCAGTGATGGCAAGGCCGAAATGGCGGCGATAAGAAAACACCTGTCTGCTCATGGTTTATGGGGGAGGGAGTCAACAATCTTACCGGATGTGGATATTAAGATACCTGAGTTAAAAGGTAAGAATGTGGCAGAGCACATGCAAAACCTGGCACAGCAGCAGGTGGGTGGATACCAGACTCTTGCCAGCCTCATGGCTAACCCAGAATTTAAGTTTCCTCCTAAACCTAAAACCTGGGCAATGTCGCCAGGATGGACAAAGTATGACAGTGAGACGAAAAAGACAGTGAAAGTTGACTTTCCTGAAGAGAACATTCTGGTGTTTGATGTGGAGGTGTTAGTTCCGGAGGGAAATTACCCAACCATGGCTACTGCTGTGTCTCCTAAACACTGGTAGGTGATCAATGTACTAGTGAGTCATGTCAACGTAACTCTGGTACATAATGTAGGTCACTGTAATAGTGTGTTGTGTCTACTTAACTCTGGTACATAATGTAGGTCACTGTAATAGTGTGTTGTGTCACCTTAACTCTGATACATAATGTAGGTCACTGTAATAGTGTGTTTTGTCTACTTAACTCTGGTACATAATGTAGGTCACTGTAATAGTGTGTTGTGTCTACTTAACTCTGGTACATAATGTAGATCACTGTAATAGTGTGTTGTGTGTACTTAACTCTGGTACATAATGTAGGTCACTGTAAAAGTGTGTTGTGTCTACTTAACTCTGGTACAAAATGTAGGTCACTGTAATAGTGTGTTGTGTGTACTTAACTCTGGTACATAATGTAGGTCACTGTAATAGTATGTTGTGTCTACTTAACTCTGATACATAATGTAGGTCACTGTAATAATGTGTTGTGTCTACTTAACTCTGGTACATAATGTAGGTCACTGTAATAATGTGGTTTGTATACTTAACTCTGGTACATAATGTAGGTCACTGTAATAGTGTGTTGTAATGCCTTAGCACTACATGTATATTCTTAAGCAACAATTATAACATATAACAAAACATACAGATGAGATATTTTCCCTTGCAACTGTCTTGTATAACAAAGTAAATTATATTCACTGTCTGCAGGTACTCGTGGTGTAGTGAGCTGGTGTTGAAGGACCGTTACCGCTGGACCAAGGTGCCATTCCTGTCAGACCTCATCCCTCTGGAGTCCGGACCTGTTGTAAATGGCCAGTCGCCGAAGGACTGGCCACAGCGACTCATCATTGGCCACAATGTGGGCTTTGACCGATCTTTCGTGAAAGAACAGTATTATGTACAGGTTTGTAATTATAAGAAGGGATTTATCTATGATTGTTTCCTTTTAAAACTGGAGAAAATTAAGTCTAATGGTGGAGTAATTAAACCATCTTTCAATGAAACTTTTCACACCAAAAGTCTCACCACTGTATGGTGTATTGTGTACTCTAGTATACATACCACTTTCGTAATGTTTACCCCAAGGTCAAATTATAATTATACGATGTATCAGGTCAAATTAATTGGGAAAGTCTATCGACAGTCAAGTTTTGTGGTTCAGTTGTAATCTGGACTTTGAACAGCCAAATATATTTTGTACAAGTAAGAATCAGTAAACGGTTGGTTGTGTACCACTCTAAGTATAACTATGTATTGTTTAAAATTTATGACAGAAATCTAAACTTCGGTTTTTGGACACAATGTCCATGCACATTGCCATTTGTGGCCAGACAACATACCAGAGGATTCTATACCAGGCAACAAACAAAGCTAGTAACAGAAAGGAAGTACGGGAGCACACAGCCCGCACCAAACACATGCAAGTAAGTAACCAAAGCTTATTTCTTTTATTTATGAGCCAAGAGATGTAGATAGAGCTTACCCGGTTACCTTGGTAACCATGGGGTGAATAAAATAAGGTGGGAGCAGACAGCCAGCAGCAGAGATATTTTCAATTTGTCTGGAAAGATCCCTATGTCACACATTATTATATTGGGGGATTCATATCATTTGATAAATTTAATTAAAAATTCCTCTTGTTAAAAAGGTATTTGCTACTGAGTAGATTATGCTTATAGAAGATTAAAATATGTCTGAATTATGTTACTGTAATTTTTTATACATCTATTATAATTTGACGATCATCTTATTTCATACATGAGTACAACTAGGAAAAGTGGAGTAACCTGAACCAAAACTAGGTCACTGCAACTTATATTTTGATCTCTGGCCTCAATCAAGGGGGAAGTGTTTCTGGAGCATTTCTCCTATACTATTTGTATAGGGAATGCCAAATTTGGTCTATCTAGTGAAGCAGAATGTAGCATACCAAAGTATCTTTATTTGACCTGTTATTAATCAAGGAAAGAGTTATTCCAGAAAATTTCTCTTACACTGTTTCATGTACAATAATCACTTCAACTTGAGCTTCACTTCAGCTTTATCGTGAAGTAAATGATCGGTCAAATTAAATCATTTGGTTATACTTAATATAAATATGTTCTCAAAATCAATTTTCATGAAAAGGTTGTCTGAGATCAAAACATATGTCACATATAGGTACAAGGTTAAATTAGTATATTGGAAATTGAGCGTTGTTGGTTCCAACCTACTTGTGCAGCAAAGTGGGTGTATCCATAAAGCCACTATACCGAGTTCTATCCACTGAAATGTGTGGAGGGATGGTGGTTATATACAGAGATTATATAGAATGTGGAGGGATAATGGTTATATACAGAGATTATATAGAATGTGGATAGATGGTGGTTATATACCGAGAGTATATAGAATGTGGAGGGATGGTGGTTATATACAGAGAGTATATAGAATGTGGAGCGATGGTTTGTTATATACAGAGATCATATAGAATGTGGAGGGATGGTGGTTATATACAGAGAGCATATAGAATGTTGAGGGATGGTGGTTATATACAGAGAGTATATAGAATGTGGAGGGCTGGTGGTTATATATAGAGATTATATAGAATGTGGAGGGATGGTTGTTATATACAGAGAGTATATAGAATGTGGAGGGATGGTGGTTATATACAGATATTATATAGAATGTGGAGGGATGGTGGTTATATATAGAGATTATATAGAATGTGGAGGGATAATGGTTATATACAGAGATTATATAGAATGTGCAGGGATGGTGGTTATATACAGAGATTATATAGAATGTGCAGGGATGGTGGTTATATACAGAGATTATATAGAATGTGGAGCGATGGTTTGTTATATACAGAGAGTATATAGAATGTGGAGCGATGGTTTGTTATATACAGAGATCATATAGAATGTGGAGGGATGGTGGTTATATCCAGAGAGTATATAGAATGTGGAGGGATGGAGGTTATATATAGAGATTATATAGAATGTGGAGGGATGGTTTGTTATATACAGAGATTATATAGAATGTGGAGCGATGGTTTGTTATATACAGAGAGTATATAGAATGTGGAGGGATGGTTTGTTATATACAGAGATTATATAGAATGTGGAGCGATGGTTTGTTATATACAGAGAGTATATAGAATGTGGAGGGATGGTGGTTATATATAGAGATTATATAGAATGTGGAGAGATGGTGGTTATATACAGAAATTATATAGAATAATTTCTGACATATTTGATATTACAGGTTGATGATGAATGGAAGATGGTTAGCACACTGAATAACCTGAACGACGTTCACAAGCTTCATGTTGGGGGAGGTAACCTAAACAAGGAAACCAGAAATGTTTTTGTGAAGGGAACAATGAAGGATGTGCGAACAAATTTTCAGGTAAAATCATCTCAAATAACAAGTATCTCTAAGCCAGAAAAACACCTTTCGGTAGCTTCATCGTAAGAGAATATTTCAAGTCTGAGTAGAGCTCTTCTTGACATATAATTGATGTAGTGATTCCCTTTATCAAAATTTGAACCGATATACCACAATATATATATTTTAATGCATTTATAGTTCAACAATATATTTTTTTATAAGTAACAATTTTTTTATTTTTTTTGAAAATTAACAAGAATATTACACATCTTCTCCACATGCATACAAGAATTGACCAATGTCAACCGTATATTAAACACATATCTTGCCATCCTTTTACTAAGTTTGATTTGCCAATATTTCACACATAGAAAGAGGTTCATATATTTATATATATAAATTTATGCTATTTATGCTCATTCCGGGTCTTTTTATGATGACATACTTTCACATCTAAAGTCATACAGTCATGCATACTGTATGCCCAACAAGCTGAAGACCAATCCCAATTAAAGTACTTGGTTTTACTTAAACTTCATTTCAAATCTCCTGAAATATTCAATGTGTATATGTTTGATAAAAAGCTGAGCTGGTTATCAGAATTTACACCTTGCATTATACACCTTTGCGATATGAATACAGTATGTTATTACCAGAATAAGGTCAATTGATAATTTTTTCTACAAAAATCTATTTCAGGTAATTTCAAACATGAACTACGCCAATTTTGAAATATTCCTGTCATAATGACATTTTGATGATGAAATAAGCAATATTTACCGGTTAAGGAAAACCATATTTACTAGCTGTGTAGTCATCAACCCAATTCAGGTTATCTTATTCAATATATCTAGGTGGTGTTACATAAAGTTCAATACTGTCAATTGATATCAACTTGTTTGGTACAAGTAAAACTCTATTAGTGTAATGAAATCTATGTTTGGTATTATAAAAGCAATATGTAGTATAATGAAATCAATGTCTGGTATTATAAAAGCAATATGTGGTATAATGAAATCAATGTTTGGTATCATAAAAGCAATATGTGGTATAATGAAANAGGTATAATGAAATCTGTGTTTGGTATGAATATAACTACCCCGGTATGTACATAAACCAGTTTGCAGTCACTGTTATGATATTATTGTGATCTTTGTAAACAGGAGTTAATGGAGTATTGTGCAAGTGATGTGGTAGCTACAACAAAAGTTTTTCAGCAGTTATATCCAGAATATAGGAAAAGGTAAGCTACAAAATCAAAACACTTTCATAATTATATGTCTGAAGTTAACAGTTTGATAACAATATCTGAATCAAAATGTACCAGGTGATACATATACCGGTACTACTTCATTTCTGTAGAAGAGTGGAAGAGATTTAAGAATTCCACAGCCTGCTTACTTGTTTGGGAGAAGTAAAACTGCATTGTTATAAAAAGTAGGGTGAATAAAAGATTTACAATTCCTGTTCACATCTTTGAATACATAAAAACATCCTGTATGATGTTATGTTACATATTTTCAAATCCTGTAATACTTTTGAATAAACATATTTTAAAATGTCCACATCCTGTTAACACTTTTGAATATAAAACATTAAAGATTTCCACATCCTGTTTATATTTTTGAATATAAAATATTAAAGATTTCCACATCCTCTTTTAACACTTTTGAATATAATACATTAAAGATTTCCACATCCTGTTTATACTTTTGAATATAAAATATTAAAGATTTCCACATCCTCTTTAAGCACTTTTGAATATAATACATTAAAAATTTCCACATGCTGTTTATACTTTTGAATATAAAACATTATAGATTTCCACATCCTGTAACAATGGCTGGTATGTTGGAGATGGGAACTGCCTACCTGCCTGTGAATAAGAACTGGGGCCGCTACATTGACGAATCCAACAACATATATAACGATCTGCAGAGAGAGCTGAAATTGTCACTGATGAAACTGGCCGATGAGGCATGTCAACTTCTACACAGCAAAGAGTATGTTGGTCCTAGTATCTGTACATGTGAAACTGTGTACAAGCTTTTATCTGTATATGCTGTTTAGGATTGTTTTCTGATAATGTAACTTGTCTGGGATTGTTTAATGATAATGTAACTAGTCTGGGATTGTTTAATGATAATGTAACTAGTCTTGGATTGTTTATGATAACATAACTAGTCTGGCAGTGTTTATGATAATGTAACTAGTCTGGCAGTGTTTTATATGATGTAACTTGTCTTGGATTGTTTTATGATTATGTAACTAGCCTGGCAGTGTTTTATATGATGTAACTTGTCTTGGATTGTTTTATGATTATGTAACTAGCCTGGCAGTGTTTTATATGATGTAACTTGTCTTGGATTGTTTTATGATTATGTAACTAGCCTGGCAGTGTTTTATATGATGTAACTTGTCTTGGATTGTTTTATGATTATGTAACTAGCCTGGCAGTGTTTTATATGATGTAACTGGTCTTGGATTGTTTTAAGATAACGTAACCAGTCTGTGATTGTTTATGATAACGTAACCAGTCTGGGATTGTTTTATGATTATGTAACTAGCCTGGCAGTGTTTTATATGATGTAACTTGTCTGGGATTGTTTTAAGATAACGTAACCAGTCTGTGATTGTTTATGATAACGTAACCAGTCTGGGATTGTTTTATGATTATGTAACTAGCCTGGCAGTGTTTTATATGATGTAACTTGTCTGGGATTGTTTTAAGATAACGTAACCAGTATGGGATTGTTTATGATAACGTAACCAGTCTGGGATTGTTTTATAATAATGTAACTAGTCTGGGATTGTTGTATAATAATGTAACTAGTCTGGGATTGTCTTTGGTAGTGTAACTAGTCTGGGATTGTTTTATGATGACCTAACTAGTCTGGGATTGTTTATGATAACGTAACTAGTCTTGGATTGTTTATAATAATGTAACTAGTCTGGGATTTTTTATGATAACATAACTAGTCCGGGATTGTTTTATGATAACATAACTAGTCTGGGATTGTTTTATGATAATGTAACTAGTCTGGGAATGTTTATGATAAGATAACTCGTCTGGGTTTGGATTGTTTATGATAATGTTACTAGTCTGGGATTGTTTGTAATATTACAAATGACTTTGAGATATTTATGTTTATATGACATTATGAGAGGAAAGGTAATTGAGAGTTCAATCATCCTACCAATATTATTTAAACACAACTAAACAATAAACTGTTGAAGGTACAAGAATGATCCGTGGCTGTGGGATCTAGACTGGCAGGTAGCTAACATCAAAATGAACAAAGAGAAGAAAACTGGCAAAAAGAATCCAAATCAAGTAAGCTTCATTGGTCTCTTGTACTGGGTAGGAATATCACAATACACGTTTGATGTACATAGATATATACAGGATGGCTGATTGTGATATCACATGCGCCAAACGTATGCGTGCACGGTTCGTCCCAGTGCCAGGGTGTTATTCCAAAAATTGTTACATGCGCCGAATGTATGCGCCCCTGGTTCATCCCAGTTAAAACTTTTCTGAAATGTTTGTCGACCTTTAAAAATGGTGAAGTGGTGAAACACCTAAACATGACACTCAGTATAATAAAATAAAAATCACATTCATGAGAGGGCAATATTGCATATTTTCACCCCAAGGAAGCATTGTTGAGCGAGGCGAATAATACTATAATCCAGCAAGTTAGTTAAGATATTCGGTGTAAAGCAGAGACAAAATTTGTGGTTTTCTTAATTGCAATTTTATTATGGCAGTAAAAACCCAAATAGTGAAATACTATGATATGTGACATTTTGTCTGAAGCGCTTCTGTACTAAACTCAATCATTTTTATTGACTTAAAAGTAATCCAGGAATGGACTCAAAAAATGTAATTGTTTCGGCAAATTTTATCAAGATCTGATAATGGTCAGCTGATAATAATCTATATATTACATGTAAATTACACACCTATTTCAGATTTGTTGTGATATAATGGTGATTTTTCTCTTCCAAATCTCAAGGCATGTAATGAAATGTCACATATGTTGATTATTTTCAGTTTATTTATATATTATGTATCTCAATTCTTTATTAGGAAGACAGAGATGAAAATGACACAGACAAAATCATCGCCAGAACTTATGCCACAAAAAGTAGGGTCCCAAAGAGACCTGTACACACACCAGGCTACCCCAAGTAAGGAGTGGAATCATTGAAACCTGTAGTAGTTTTCTCTGTAAATGCAATACTGTTGGGGTTCACTAGGCCCGTCCTAGATTATTCATAAAGTAAACTATTACTATTAGATAAGATTTATGTAATTTAAAATGTCTTTAAACCAGATTGTTTATTACCCCCTTGCAAGGAAAGTTCAAGGGGTATAGAATTTTGCGCATTTGGGTTTCTTCGTTGAAGGTCAAAGTCATTGTTACTATTTTTAGAGAAGCTTTGTTATCGCTCTATCGACTTCATTCCTCAACAAAATTTCATAAAACTTGATACAAGTGTTTGGTACGGCAATGCCTTGAACAAGTTTGCATTTCCGGTTCTATGTTCAACGTCAAGGTCACTGTTACTGTTTTCAGAAAAACTTTGTCATCACTCTACCTACAGAATTTCATGAAACTTAATAAAAGTATTTGGTATGGCAATATCTTGAACAAATTCTTATTCAATTCCTTTCAAACTTTGTATGGGAATGGTAGAAGCAATATTGTTCAACACGTATATGGTGGGTTTTTTTGTGTTTCAACTATCCATGTTTTTGCGTATCACACTTGACATAGTGACACTGTACATTATTTATGCCATTAACTTTTGCTTGTTTACACAATAACTCAAACAATTGTTCTCTGATTTTTACTTAACTACTTGGTTGTTTTATTACCTGAATGCTTTGAATGAGTTCTTAAATTGTGACATTTAAACGCTATTAGGCAGATTTATGTCCCTTTTTCGTATCTAATTAACTTTTTAATTATTTGATTAATTCCTTTCAAATTTAAGTATGGTAATACAAAAACCAAACATATTTAACAGATATAATTTCAGCAGTCATCTTCAATAAAATAAAATATGTTTGACTATCATTCATCTTGCGATTGAATCTCTCAACTCAATATTTTTCCATGTATTATGTATATTATGCCATAATATCAGGGTGCAAATTGCAGTTCAAGACTCCTACCTCAAAGCCAAGGTTCTAGTTTTAGTTATTGCCACATTGACCACGAAAGTGTAATTCTGAAACACAAAATAGTTTGCGCCATAAACACAGTAAATGAATGGCAAGGTCACAGTCACCAACAAAATGGTGGCAATAAACACATTTATATCATATGTCACTACCTGCATCCAATATATCAATACCCTTCCGATGGTCTGGTGGGTGTATCATGCTCCCGTTCATTGTGCTCTTGTTGTTATACCCCTACATCGAGTTATCAGTCTGTAGACTTTTTTCGTCTGTTTCTGATAAAACTTCATGTATGCAAAACATCATCTAATATATGGAGGGGTTTTTCCAACCTTCTGGGGTCAAAAACAAGGTCACTGTAACTGTGAATAATGTTTTGTTGTCATCACTGTAAACATTTCATTTCTATCTGATTATCTAACCAGAAACAAGGGTACACAGACTACAAATAGAATTTTAGTGTAATCACTCTATAGACCTCTTGTGCAAGTTTGTGTTTTGGCCTTTTGAGGTGGAAAACCAAGGATATCTTAACTTTATCTGTATGTTTTGTTGTCATCACTCTAGATTTCATTTCTTATCCCATTGTCATGAAAAATTTGTGTGTTCACAAACTTCACCTTTGTTTTGACATTCAAGGGTCAGAAACAAGGTCACTGTGACTCTAATTTTGACATTCAAGGATCAGAAACAAGGTCACTGTGACTATAATTTTGTAGGAACTCTTTATTGCTCTATACACTAAGCATTTCTGATCACTAAAAGTGCAAGGGTATTAGTATCTTTTACAATGCCTGAAACATTTCAAATTATTTTCCTTGTAGTTGGTACCGTGCTTTGTGCCCAAAGAATTCCGACCCAGACTGGAGTGTTGGTCCATCTCTCATCAGCACCCAGGTCAGGATTACGCCCAAACTGATGAGGCTGACCTGGGATGGCTACCCTCTGCACTATAGTGAAAAATATGGCTGGGGCTATCTTGTACCTGACCCAGAAAAGGCTGCCAGGGATATGCAAGAACTTGATAATCCAGAGAAGCAGGAAAAAGGGAAGCCAAGGTTTCCGATAGAGTAAGGAAATCTTTCGTGTTACTTTGTGGTACAATACAAGCATACCTTGTTAATCTAAATAAATTGTACTGTTTTTCTTATGAAATTTTGGTATTATAAAAGGGGCTGATGATACATTAAGGAAGACATATAAAGGAATTCCAAAAAAAAGGAAAATGTGACCTTCTAATGTGTTGGCAGTAAGTGAAGACGCAAATTAAAGAAGGAAAGTTAAATCAATGTATCAATGTTTTATTGTATATGATGCCAAATTATTAAGATTTTGCACTTAACATTTTCATGTTATATTGGAAGGGAAATTGACACCGCAGGAAAATCATAAAAATATAACTGTATGTATATATTCTATCACACTTACATCAACAGTGCTTGTTATACAGGTAGGGACCAGTTATCATAGACCAATATATATTTCAAACCTATTGACCCCTAGCATCCCTGACGAGTTTTAGAAGGACAAAGCAGCTGTATGATGCAGTGTAATTCATTTTGGCATTCTATATCTATTACCATACCGTATCTATTACCGTACTGTATCTATTACAATACTGTAGCTATTACAATACTGTAACTATTACCATACTGTATCTATTACAATACTGTAGCTATTACAATACTGTATCTATTACCATACTGTATCTATTACCATACTATATATATTACCAGACTATATCTATTACCATACTATATATATTACCACACTGTATCTATTACCATACTATATATATTACCACACTGTATCTATTACCATACCGTATCTATTACCATATCGTATCTATTACCACACTGTATCTATTACCATACTGTATCTGTTACCATACTGTATCTATTACCATACTGTATCTATTACCACACTGTATCTGTTACCATACTGTAACTATTACCAATTGTTTAACCCTTTCACCCCTATGTAACTTCAGTAAACTCTACCATGCATTGATCTTGATGAGGAGTCCATTATGATCTACAGTGGTGAAAGGGTTGAAGGTGTACTCACCGGTGTGTGTTACACTCATCCTGATACAAGTATGTACTGGATATCTGTACTGGAGATCCTACCACTCTCCTCACCTGCCTAACATGTGGAGTTTTTGTTAGACAGGCACGTACCAGATATCTTATCCCAGCCATAGTGATTATTTACCATTGATTTCCCTTTTGATAGGTCTGTGTTGAAGTTGTGTGGAATGGCTGTCCCCGGTGACTTGGAGAATCCTGATTCCCTTAGAAACTTTGAGGATACAATGAATTCTGTGATGAAGGATGCAGCTGTGGATCTGGACTTACACGAGAGAATGCGTCACTTGGACAAGGCTAAAATCAAACGAGAAAGAAGACTTTCTGTATTACATGATCGGGAAAAAGGGGTAGGGTTGAATTGACACCAGACTCGATAATGGTAGAAAAGTTCCTACTTTAATGTTTTAGTTACTGATATGACCATGATGAATCAATGCAAGTCATAAAAATTTAAAGCAATTTTTTTTAACCTTTTGCTTTTCCACCAGGATGCTGTGTGTGATATAAATGTATACTATATTTATTGATCCTACAGCAAGCTCTGGAGCCTATGGATGATGAGAATATACCAGGGTGCCACTTTGTCCCGCTTCCTCACAAGGTAAGTGTTCAGGAACATAATGATGAACTAAAATATTACAAATAAGTACCTTTTTCAATACAGAACAAGCAAACACCTATCTATTTTACAGCATTCCTGAGCTAAGGCGATTCAATGTATAATTCAGGAATATACCCCCCACCACCACACCTCACCCTAGAAGCAGAGGGATGGGGTCCTACAGGTGTAAAAAAAAGATTATTTTTTTCAAGACTAGTTCTAACAAATGAAGGGATTTTAGTCTGAAAAATAATTTAACCAATGCAAGAAGATTCTATATTTTTCAACAAGAGTTGTGGCGACCCCACCCTGGGGCAGAGACAAAATATAATATATATATACCCTGGGGCAGAGACAAATTATAATATATATATACCCTGGGGCAGAGACAAAATATAATGTATATATACCCTGGGGCAGAGACAAAATATAAAATATATATACCCTGGGGCAGAGACAAAATATAATGTATATATACCCTGGGGCAGAGACAAAATATAAAATATATATACCCTGGGGCAGAGACAAAATATAATGTATATATACCCTGGGGCAGAGACAAAATATAAAATATATATACCCTGGGGCAGAGACAAAATATAAAATATATATACCCTGGGGCAGAGACAAAATATAATATATATAGACCCTGGGGCAGAGACAAAATATAATATATACCCCCTGGGGCAGAGACAAAATATAATATATAACTGCCCTGGGGCAGAGACAAAATATAATATATAACTGCCCTGGGGCAGAGACAAAATATAATATATATAGACCCTGGGGCAGAGACAAAATATAATATATACACCCTGGGGCAGAGCCAAAATATAATATATATACACCCTGGGGCAGAAACAAAATATAATATATATACACCCTGGGGCAGAGCCAAAATATAATATATATACACCCTGGGGCAGAGGCAAAATATAATATATATATACCCTGGGGCAGAGACAAATTATAATATATATATACCCTGGGGCAGAGACAAAATATAATATATACACCCTGGGGCAGAGCCAAAATATAATATATATACACCCTGGGGCAGAAACAAAATATAATATATATACACCCTGGGGCAGAGACAAAATATAATATATATATACCCTGGGGCAGAGACAAAATAAAAAATATATATACCCTGGGGCAGAGGAGTGGGCACAATATAGAGAAATACAGGTAAAGCTTTCAAAGACAAAATATAATATGGAAACAGTTAAGATTCCTACCTCAAATTTTAACCATACATTACATGTAATTGCTAGGAATGTGTAGAGAAGTTGAACCAAGCATCCCAGACTGAAGTAAATGACACAGAATTACTTATGTATGTTTTACAGAATGGTAAAGGTTACCGGGTGGGCAATCCAGTGGTGCGGGACTACATCAGTAAGATTGAGGCAGGCACACTAAAGGCTTTGTTGGGTACAAGTGCACAGCGCATTCTCACACTGGGCAGCATGTCATCCTACTGGAAAAACAACATGAAGAGAATAGAGTATGTCAGAACAGTACCTGTATGAGTCACATGACCAGTATATATCACATGACCTGTATGCATCACATAATAATCTATTTATGGATGAATACTCCTTATAAGCACTTAAGTACCGGTACTGTTATTTCATTTACCATATCACCTTGATAAGCCATCCAAAAAGTGAAAAATTTGTTGGTAAAACATCTGCTGTTAACTACATAGGTTGTTTGTAAACAATTTTCCTCCTATCAAATGATTTAATGACAAAATCTAATTATTTTGAGCCTGGTTACGATGACACCAACCTTGAGAGTAAAAAACATGTAAAATAAAATTCTTATTTCCATACAACGCCTACGCTCCAGGATAAGTGTTAACTTGTTTGGACCCCACAGGTTTGACACACCTTAAAATACAGAACTTTTAATCTGTGTTCAATTTCACGATTAGCCTCTTAATCAACTTGTGGTATGACTTAATCTGGTGACCATGGAATTTTGTATTAGCAAATTGTGTATAAATTCAAACATTCAAAAAGTAGCAACAAATCTTTCATGTTGTACATTTACAGAAATGTGTAAGTGATAGCTTCAAAATTGGATAGTTTTATCATTAGTAGTCTATATATATATCACTTTAAACCAACAGGAGCCAGATGGCCCTTGGTCTGACATCACAAGACCTGCCTGATACCATCACCAGGTACGTACACTACATCACTGTTGTTGGGGGTAACTAAATATATCTGCACAGTCAAGCCTCGTTAACCTTAGTCAGGTATGTAGTAGCTGTATCACCCTTAATTATGGGACCGATGTAAGTTAGTTATGTCAGTTTAATATACGATATGAGAAAATGTGTCATTTATTATGTAGGTATATGAGGAACACCAACATTTTACCTATCAGTGTAGGGGTCAGGCCTAGGCAGTGGTTGGTGATCCTAATCTTACACCTACAGATAGGAATTATACAACCCTACATAATGATAGTCTCTATTAATGTGCATTACCTAAAGAGCCAATTAAGAAACACTATCGGAGATTCAGAATGCAAAATTTCTGAAACAAAACATTTTGAAATGAAAAAGATTTTGTAAATCACACAGCAGTTTCATGTATTTGTGTTTTCCTGCGTTGATTCTAATGGACTGTAAAAATTGGATGAATGTCTTTTTTTCAAAATCTAAAATCATGAAATATAAAGTTGAATGGGATAGTCTGTTCATTGTTTAAGCTGTAGTAGAATATTTCCTTACTCTCCTACATTGTATATCTTTATAGTAATCAGGATTATGATGAGAAGGATTACCTGGGTGCCATCGTTCCCCGGATTGTCCCAGCAGGAACCATCACCAGACGGGCGGTAGAACAGACGTGGCTGACGGCCAGTAATGCTTACGTAAGTAAAACTATCGTATTTACAGGGGCGGTAGAACAGACGTGGCTGACGGCCAGTAATGTTTACGTAAGTACAACTATCGTACAACTAATAATGTCACTAAAGTCATATGAACTACAAATTCTCCCACAAAACGAGATAGGGATCCTCACATCTGTCCTTTTGGAATAACCTGCTAAGTCATGTCATTTCTGTGGTCAATCTTTGACTTATGACATCACATAACAGTACTTTGCATCATCATTTTGGCAACAGTTTTTCCCAATTTGAAACAGAAATAATGTAATTCTAAGGAGAACACGCTTTTCTAGATATAACTCCCTAAACTCATGATGGTTGGTCATCTTGTTATCCAACTCTAATTAGTTAGTTTTGAAATTGTGAAAATCATTCAGGAAAGCTAGTGACTTTATACAGTTTGAAAATTAACCAACTTGAATACGATAAACATCATGATAACCAACCATCATTCATTAGGGAGGTATAGGTGTCACATAAGTCATGTTACCTGGTTACTACACATCTAAAGCTTTAATGATCTTATCACAGTAGTCATGAACAACAACATCTCCAGCTAAAGCTGTCACAGTAGTCATGAACAACAACATCTCCAACTAAAGGTGTCACAGTAGTCATGAACAACAACTTCTCCAGCTAAAGGTGTCACAGTAGTCATGAACAACATCTCTAACTAAAGGTGTCACAGTAGTCATGAACAACAACATCTCCAGCTAAAGCTGTCACAGTAGTCATGAACAACAACATCTCCAAATAAAGGTGTCACAGTAGTCATGAACACCAACATCTCCAGCTAAAGGTGTCACAGTAGTCATGAACGACAGCTCCAGCTAAAGGTGTCACAGTAGTCATGAACAGCAACATCTCCAAATAAAGGTGTCACAGTAGTCATGAACAACACCATCTCCAGCTAAAAGTGTCACAGTAGTCATGAACAACAACATCTCCAAATAAAGGTGTCACAGTAGTCATGAACAACAACATCTCCAGCTAAAGGTGTCACAGTAGTCATGAACAACAGCTTCTCCAGCTAAAGGTGTCACAGTAGTCATGAACGACATCTCCAGCTAAAGGTGTCACAGTAGTCATGAACAACACCATCTCCAGCTAAAAGTGTCACAGTAGTCATGACCAACAACATCTCCAGCTAAAGGTGTTACAGTAGTCATGAACAACATCTCCAACTAAAGGAGTCACAGTAGTCATGAACAACACCATCTCCAGCTAAAAGTGCCACAGTAGTCATGAAAAACAACGTCTCCAGATAAAGGTGTCACAGTAGTCGTGAACAACAACATCTCCAACTAAAGTTGTCACAGTAGTCATGAACAACATCATCTCCAGCTAAAGGTGTCACAGTAGGCATGAACAACAACATCTCCAGCTAAAGGCGTCACAGGAGTCATGAACAACAACATCTCCAGCTGAAGGTGTCACAGTAGTCATGAACAACGACATCTCCAGCTAAAGGTGTCACAGTAGTCATGAACAACACCATCTCCAGCTAAAGGTGTCACAGTAGGCATGAACAACAACATCTCCAGCTAAAAGAGTCACAGTAGTAATGAACAACAACATCTCCAGCTAAAGCTGTCACAGTAGTCATGAACAACAACGTCTCCAGATAAAGGTGTCACAGTAGTCATGAACAACAGCTTCTCCAGCTAAAGGTGTCACAGAAGTCATGAACAACACCATCTCCAGCTAAAGGTGTCACAGTAGTCCTGAACAACAACATCTCCAAATAAAGGTGTCACAGTAGTCATGAACAAAAACATCTCCAGCTAAAGGGGTCACAGCAGTCATGAACAACAACATCTCCAGCTGAAGGTGTCACAGTAGTCATGAACAACAACATCTCCAGCTAAAGGTGTCATAGTAGTCATGAACAACAACATCTCCAGCTAAAAGTGTCACAGTAGTAATGAACAACAACATCTCCAGCTAAAGGTGTCACAGTAGTCATGAACAACAACATCTCCAGCTAAAGGTGTCACAGTAGTTACATAACGTTAACCAACTAACCTGTGTATGAACTATGGTATAGATGTTACAGTAGTTGTATTGACTACAGTATCCATGGCTAAAGGTTCAACAGCCATATGAATTACGGTATAGATGTCACAGTAGTCATGAACAACTGTATCCACAGCTGAAGTTGTCACATGGTAAAAGTTTTATATCATTAATAATGTTGTGTTGGTTAGATTTAACACAGTTAATTTTATATTTATGTTGGTATATGTAATACATGTAATGTTGCCTCATTTACAGCCAGATCGTGTGGGCAGTGAACTCAAGGCCATGATACAGACCCCACCCGGCTACAAGTTTGTCGGGGCTGATGTCGACTCGGAGGAACTGTGGATAGCAGCACTCATAGGGGATGCACATGCTAAGATCCATGGTAGGTCAAGTTGTCCATAATATTGTAATATAAAACCATTTGACCGGAGTTTTAGAGTGACATGGTCTTCTACTTCTAAGCTTGTCTGGACAAAGTCTGCTCTACGATACTGTAGCAACAGTCTGTTCATTACTGCTGCTACGAAGTTAGAATTAAAAACGATATAACTTCTGTATACCTAGAAATTTTTGCTATTTTTTGCCCAATATTAAATTGTTTTGCTGTAACGTCAATGATAGATTCGTCGTTATTACGAAAGGCAAAAAGGAAAAAATCAAACTGCAGCGAAAAAATATCAGTATACAGTATTTGTATCATGTTGTAAAATAACATACCAACCTTAGGATAATTTCACAATAACGTGAATATTTTTAAAAGGCCAAACAAAGTAACTATAGGGTATGGTACATTGTATGTTTTATATCCATATTAAGGATGCACTGCATTTGGCTGGATGACTCTGCAGGGCAAGAAGAGTGACAAGACCGACCTCCATAGTAAGACTGCTGATACTGTGGGGATCAGCCGGGACCATGCCAAGGTAAACATCTGTACTACCTAAAACGGGAGGTCTCCCATTGGTTACATCATCAGATCATACGTAATCATCAGATCACACCCACAAATGGGAGACCTCCAGAGAATATAGCCCCAAGGGTGAGGTTCTCTAATAGAATGTCCCCAGGGAATATTCCCAAACGTAATATCTGTAGCTAACATACCTGCAAAGTTGAGATCAACAGCAGAAAACGCTCCAGAGAACACATTTTAAAGTTTGATCTCCCTCAGATTAGCCTCAAAATGTAACACCTAGAGATTTTACTGCAAAGTGTGAGGTCTCCAATGGTGACATATTTAGAAATAAGTCCACAAGGTGAAATGTCCCTTTAGTTCTTCTGCAAAGAGAGATTTACTTGACTTAACCAAAACTATGTGTGAAAACATCTCAAAATTTGGGGTGACATTTTAACTTGAGCATATTCTGTATACTGGGAAGTTTTGGCCCAGTCAAACATTTGCCCTTCGCTGGTAAAATTACGGAGGGTGAAAAAGGCAAACGTTAATTTGTGGCGAACATTTTTCGTTATACATAGAAGGATAATTTTTGTGGTAAAAATAGCATTGCAGGATAATTATTAAGTGAACAAAGGATCTGAGCTCACAATGCAAGAAGAGACTCATTTTGGAGGACAACTCAATACAGAAACCATGACAGTGTCAACTCTTAATCAAGGAGGATGCGGAAGCTTAATGCTTGAGGCGTCTGGCCATCTATGATCACTAGCCCTCCACCACTGGGTCACAGTTTCAAAGCCAACTTTGGGCAGTCGCCAGGTACTTGCCACAGGTGGTTTTTCTTCGGACACTCCGGTTTTTAGCTCACCTGGCCCGCGGCGTCCAGTGTCAACTTTTTACTTTAAACAACTTCTTCTCAGTAACCAAAAGGCCTAGGGTGATGATATTTAGCCAGAAGCATGCTGGGATGAAGGGCTACCAAGTTTGTTCAAATAAATGACCTTCATCAATTTTCAAGGTCAAATGGGTCAAATATGTTACTTTGTAAACTATGTAAACTTTGTTTAAATAAATGACCTTGATTTATATTCAAGGTCACAGGAGTCAAATATGTTAAAATCTTCAAACAACTTCTGAATAACCAAGAGGCCTAGGGTGATGATATATGGCCAGTAACATGCTGAAATGAAGGGCTACCAAGTTTGTTCAAATAAATGACCTTGACTTATATTCAAGGTCAAAGGGGTCAAATAAGTTTAAAACCTTAACACAACTTCTTCTTAATAACTAATAGGCCTAGGATAATGATATTTGACCAATAACATGCTGGAATGAAGGGCTAAATAAGGACTGAATAACCGAGAGACCTAGGGTGCTTAAATTTGGCCAGTTACATGCTGGGATGAAGGGCTACCAAGTTTGTTAAAATAAATGACCTTCATCATTTTTCAAGGTCACAGGGGTCAAATATGAATAAAACCTTTAAACAACTTCTTCTGAATAACCAAGAGACCTAGGATAATGATAGTTGGCCAGTAACATGCTGGTATGAAGGGCTATCAAGTTTGTTAAAATAAATGACCTTGATTTATATTCAAGGTCACAGGGGTCAAATATGTATGAAACCTTTAAACAACTTTTTCTGAATAACCAAGAGGCCTAGGATAATGATATTTGACCAATAACATGCTGGAATGACAGGCTACCAAGTTTGTTCAAACGAATTACCTTGAATCATATTCAAGGTCACTCGGGTCAGATATGTTGTAATCATTTAAACAACTCCTTCTGAATAACCAAGAGGCATAGGGTGATGACATTTGGCCAGTAACATGCTTGGATGAAGGTTACCAAGTTTGTTCAAATAAATTCCCTTCATCCATTTTCAAGGTCACAGGGTCAAATATGTATATAACCTTTAAACATCTTCTGAATAACCAAGTGGCCTAGGATAATGATATTTGGCCAGCAACATGCTTGAATGAAGGGCTACCAAGTTTGTTCAAATAAAATTACCTTCATCCATTTTCAAGGTCACAGGGGTCAAATATGTATATAACCTTTAAACATCTTCTGAATAACCAAGTGGCCTAGGATAATGATATTTGGCCAGTAACATGCTGGAATGACAGGCTACCAAGTTTGTTCAAATGAATGACCTTGAATCATATTCAAGGTCACTGGGGTCAAATATGTTGAAAACATTTAAACATCTTCTTCTGAATAACCAAGAGGCCTAGGGTGATGATATTTGGCCAGTAACATGCTGGGATGAAGGGTTACCAAGTTTGTTCAAATGAACAACCTTCGCCCATATTCAAGGTCACCGTGGTCAATATATGTTTAAATCTTTAAATGATTTGTTCTGTATTACTACCAAAAAGTCCAGGGTAATGATATTTTGCTAGAAGCATGCTGGGTTGGAAGACTATAAATTCTGTTCAATCTAATATCCTTGTTCGACATTCATTGTCACGGGTGTCATATGTTTAAATATTTTTATAGGTTCTTATTAATCAATCACCAATATTCTGCCTGTAGTTGTATTTTAGTCCACTTTTAAGATAACAAGTGTGAAATAAATACCAGGTGAGCGATTCAGGCCCATTGGACCTCTTGTTCTCCACCACCAAAGCCTGGCACGTCTTTAAGTTACCATAGCTGTTAATAAGATGTAAAACACAAACAAAGCAAACTCTTTATCTATAAGAGGATGGTCTTTATTTATTTTATTTTATGCATTTTGTACATTTCAGATATTCAACTATGGGCGCATTTACGGAGCAGGAAGATTGTTTGCCCAGCGATTGTTAATGCAATTCAATCATAGACTGACAGCAGCAGAGGCCACAAAAAAGGCAAACATAATGTATTCCAGCACCAAGGGCTCACGGTACGATAGTCCTCATAATGGTAGTGTAACATAATGTATTCCAGCACCAAGGGCTCACGGTAGGGTAGTCCTCATAATGGTAGGGTAACATAAAGTATTCCAGCAGCAAGAGCTCACAGTAGGTTAGTCCTCATAATGGTAGTCTAACATGTAGTCCAACACCAAGGGCACACGGTACGATAGTCCTCATAATGGTAGGGTAACATAATGTATTCCAGCACCAAGAGCTCACAGTAGGGTAGTCCTCATAATGGTAGGATAACATGTAGTCCAGCACCAAGGGCACACGGTAGGGTAGTCCTCATAATGGTAGGATAACATGTAGTCCAGCACCAAGGGCACACGGTACGTAGTCCTCATAATGGAAGGGTTACATAATGTATACCAACACCAAGGGCTCACAATATGGTAGTCCTCATAATGGTAGGTTAACATGTAGTCCAGCACCAAGGGCACACAGTACGATAGTCCTCATAATGGTAGGCTAACATAATGTATTCCAGAACCAAGGGCTCACGGTAGGGTAGTCCTCATAATGGTAGGGTAACATGTAGTCCAGCACCAAGGGCTCACGATAGGGTAGTCCTCATAATGGTAGGGTAACATAATGTATTCCAGCACCAAGGGCTCACAGTAGGGTAGTCCTCATAATGGTAGGATAACATGTAGTCCAACACCAAGGGCACACCGTAGGGTAGTCCTCATAATGGTAGTGTAACATGTAGTCCAGCACCAAGGGCTCACAGTAGGGTAGTCCTCATAATGGTAGGGTAACATAATGTATTCCAGCCCCAAGGGCTCATGGAACGATAGTCCTCATAATGGTAGGGTAACGCGTAGTCCAGCACCAAGGGCTCACGGTAGGTTAGTCCTCATAATGGTAGGGTAATATATTGTATTCCAGCACCAAAGGCTCATGGTAGGGTAGTCCTCATAATGGTAGGGTAACATGTATTCCAGCACAAAGGGCTCACAGTAGGGTAGTCCTCATAATGGAAGGGTAACATGTAGTCCAACACCAAGGGCACAAGGTACGATAGTCCTCATAATGGTAGGGTAACATGTATTCCAGCACAAAGGGCTCACAGTAGGGTAGTCCTCATAATGGTAGGGTAACATAATGTATTACAGCATCAAGGGCACACAGAAAGATAGTCCGCATAATGGTAAGATACCATGCACTCCAGCACCAAGGGCACACGGTAGGGTAGTCCTCATTATGGTAGGTTAACATATAGTCCAGCACCAAGGGCACACGGTAGGGTAGTCCCCATAATGGTAGGGTAACATGTAGTCCAACACCACGGGCACACGGTACGATAGTCCTCATAATGGTAGGGTAACATGTAGTCCAGCACCAAGGGCACACGGTAGGGTAGTCCTCATTATGGTAGGGTAACATATAGTCCAGCACCAAGGGCACACGGTAGGGAAGTCCTCATAATGGTAAGATACCATGCACTCCAGCACCAAGGGCTCGTGGTATGGTAGTCCTCATAATAGTAAGATACCATGCACTCCAGCACCAAGGGCTCACGGTACGATAGTCCTCATAATAGTAAGATACCATGCACTCCAGCACCAAGGGCTCTCGGTAGGGTAGTCCTCATAATGGTAAGATACCATGCACTCCAGCACCAAGGGCACACGGTAGGGTAGTCCTCATAATGGTAGGTTAACATATAGTCCAGCACCAAGGGCACACGGTAGGGTAGTCCTCATAATGGTAAGATACCATGCACTCCAGCGCCAAGGGCTCGTGGTATGGTAGTCCTCATAATAGTAAGATACCATGCACTCCAGCACCAAGGGCTCACGGTACGATAGTCCTCATAATAGTAAGATACCATGCACTCCAGCACCAAGGGCACACGGTAGGGTAGTCCTCATAATGGTAGGGTAACATGTAGTCCAACACCAAGGGCACAAGGTACGATAGTCCTCATAATGGTAGGGTAACATGTAGTCCAGCACCAAGGGCACACGGTATGTTGCCATTATAAAGGCAGGCTAACATAGTACATTACAAAAGGCCAGTGGTAGGATAGTCCTCATAAGTGTAGGCTAACATGTTAACCAGGAGTGTATGAAATAAATTATATAAATAAAGTATCTTTGCTTTTTTCAATGCTTAGTATGTTTCTTTGATAAATGTCTTCCTCTTTTAACATTGACATGTTTTAAATGCTTTCGATTTGAGTAATTTACCTTGTATTTTTTTCAATTTTATATAAAAAGGGAGAGGTAACTCGTAAAAAATATCCATGCCCTGCTAATTGTTTGGCCTGCCAACAGAGGTTGCTGGAGACTTGAAGCATGATTGTATTGTTTGTCTATGGTTTAACAATTTGTTGTTCTATTAATCTCCAGAAAGAAGAAATTGCAAGAAAGTGCAGACGGGACACTATTTTATAAAACAGTTTGGGCTGGTGGCAGGTATTTAAATCATGGGTCAGACAAGTGCATCTGAAAATATATTACACCAATTTTGACACAGGTATTTTACTCTTTAAAAAAGCTCTGTATAAGATTAAAAATATTGCCCTTTGATAACTGCTTTCGCTCCGCAACTATCCTGTATCTTTTAGTTTGAGGTATTATTTTTGAAAACTTTGCTTCAAATGAGTTGTCCCTCCAGAATAGTCTGTACTGATGTCTGCAATGGCCGTTGTACAGTTGTTGTCCATTACAGTGAGAGTGAAATGTTTAACCAGCTGGAAGCCATAGCGACCAGAGAAAGCCCTACCACACCGGTCCTTGATTGTCACATCAGTAAGGCCCTGGAGCCCCAGTATGTCGGTGATGATGTAGGTAACATGTAGGCTACTCCACTGATTTACTTATACTTAAATCTATAAAATGTTTCAAATAATTGTAAAATGCTAAATTACAGCAAAACCTTGTTACAATACCATCATTTGTCTAGAAATGAGGGAAAATTATGAAAAAAATCTCCAAATTAAAAGACCAACATACATGTATATATATAGACCTTGAAATATGTTGATAGAAAGTGAGATGACCATTGAAGTGAAGGGCATTATATCGGAAGTTTTACTGTATATGTAATGACGATGCCTTCGATTTGGACTTCTATGATCCAGTAGATGTCTGGGCCATGGTTCACATTCCAATAGAACTTAACAAAAATCCTCTGTATCATCCTTGAAGGAAAGACAAAATACCTGTATAGTGGCAAAAAAATCTTTTCAACAGCTTTGATCTTAAGGTTATTACAAGAAAAATCACCAATGATTTCCTAGGTAGTAACCTGTACATACCAAGGACATAATGTATATATTTTACATGAGCTATATTAAAAATCTGGATATGGAACATGATATTTAGATAAGTTTGTCATCTCACAACAGGTCTATGTGATATATTTTCTTATAGACCTACTGACATTTTCATAGATCAGACCTTTACCAAGATAATTTAGCATACCTGCTAAATATTTAGCGCTTGATAACATGAAATCAAAGAAATTTGTGAAACTGATTTTCTCTCACTGCTCCATATGCACCTTGGTCTATGAATTAAATGATTTTCATTTTCACAAGACTGTCTTTGGGTCTACCATTTAATTCAAACACTGAAGAGCAAAATGGTATTATAGAAAGACATTATATCAAACAAAATATGACATCAAGCTTCATGATACTGATTTCACTGCTCTGTTCTCATTATTTGTCTGCCTAGTTTATGACGAGTCGAGTTAACTGGGTGGTACAGAGCTCGGCAGTGGATTACCTCCACCTGATGCTGGTATGTATGGGTTGGCTGATTAAAGAGTATGATATCGACGCCCGTTTCTCAATCAGTATCCATGATGAGGTACGCTACCTGGTGGCAGACAAGGACAAGTATCGCGCAGGACTGGCACTACAGATCACCAACCTTCTCACACGCTCCATGTTTGCATATAAACTTGGCATGAAAGATCTTCCTAGGGTAAGTATACCACCAACTTCTGAACTCTGCACGAGAGATGTAACTAGGGTAATTACTGCATTTAAATTCACATAACATATCTTAATAGGGTAAACATATCATCTACCTTTACAAATATTCAACATTTAAAGCATGATACGTTCACACAGCTTTCATTCACCAGCGTTCTATGGAATATTTAAAAAAAAAAAAATGTATTTCTTACCTTCAACCTCTGTGTCTTGTCTTTGGTATTCTTCAGGACTGCAGACATGCTATCTATGCAATTCTATTTCCAATATTTAGCTTTTTTCAGCACTGTAGACATTTCTAACCATACACATTTATTTCTGATTAGTGACCTTCTTCAGTACTGCAGACATGTTATCTCTGCAATTCTATTTCCAATATTTAGCTTTTTTCAGCTCTGTAGACATTTCTAACCATACACATTTATTTCTACTTAGTGACATTCTTCAGTACTGCAGACATATTTTTTTAACGCTACACCTCTTTTCCAGTCTGTTGCGTTCTTCAGTGCTGTGGACATCGACACGTGTATGAGGAAGGAAGTGACATTGGATTGCAGGACGCCCTCCAACCCGCGAGGAATGGAGATGGGTTATGGTGTAATGAATGGTAAGTGATATGTGGCCAATCAATGAAAAACCTATCTTAGTAACAATATGCTTATTAAAAAACTTGTTTTATAACAACATCATACTTTTATTCACTAGCGAAGAATTGTCTCACAATAAACTTAAATCTCTGGTAATGATTTATGGTCAAATTTTTGTCTCTCCACCACGAAGTAGCGGAAGCTAGACTAATGTGTTGCTGTTTCCAGCAACCGCAGTGGCGTCAACATTAAGTTTTGCGTTTAAGTTAGTTTCACTGAAAGTATAAGTGTTAGACCAACCAAACTTGGACCATAGATGCATCTAAGCTAGTACATCTCAACCCATGCATCAAATGCTGGATACCTTTCATGGTCCATTGACTTTGTCAGCATCTCCACCAACCAAACTTGACATGTGCATCGATGGTCAAAGCAGGGCATAGGCGAGACATATCTATCTGAATGGCTTGTTTATCTAATTCAATTTTGAACAATATACCTTCCATTGGTTGTCCCTGTTTTGGCCTTGTATTGTGATCCATGTTCTTGTTACAGGTGAGGCACTGGACATTTTGGAAATCCTGGAGAAAACTGATGGCGGCCAGCTTAGGGTGAACCCTGAGATAGAAAGACTGTCTGATGAGGCAACCGATGATGAGACAGCCGATAATGACACAATTTATGGATAGACAAGCATATGATGTGATGTAAATGTGGACACTAACAGCAGAAAGCTGAATGGAGACAACCTTTACAGTGTTTATTTTCTAGTGTGCCAATGTAGTTATGTACAAATAACAATGTCCCACTTTTATGATTGTTGTTGTTAGTGACTGAAACATTAACACTTTGCCACTGTTGTGTTCAGAGACTGACATCTCAGCCCTTTACAAAATTTTCTGATCACCGACTGACATCTTAAACCTTTGTTATTTCCAGTTTGGCTGAATTTCAGGATGGAATAGGATCAGAAGGAAATGCATTACAGTTAAAATATTCCTCTCATACTGGTTCCTGGTACTAAATAAGATTCATAATTCCTTAAGATTGCACCTTCTGTAATTATTCCAGGACCATTGTTTCAACATCTACTTAAGATACATTTCACAAGTTGCTATATGGGTAAACTTGTAACATGTGGTCTAAGGTTTAGAGTAATGTGTGTGTGTAAAGAAATGATAATGTGTGTATGGTTGAGTTTACCTTGTAAATGTTGGACCATGATTAGTAAGAGGAGATAACCTTAAGCATCATCACCACGTTTTTATCTGTATTTAGTTTTAACTGAACTATTTTTACTTGTATTGTAATTATCAACATGATAACTAAGTATGAAAGGTATGTGTTTGTTTCGTAATGTTGAGCATTTAATCCAAGTTAATTTTAACAGTTGTCTTTAATTTTGACAAACACATCGAGTCATAGACTTCCCCTTGAAAAAGGAATGTAAGTAAGAGTGGTCGACCATTGGTATGCTTGTCTTGTTGTATACGCTAAAAATATGAAGTAATCTCATCACATTATACACTTCAATCCCATCATGATAGGCTGTAAGCTAACCAACACCATGTATTTCCTTTAGGCCAAACAAAAAGTATTTTGTATTTCCAGTAACTCTGCGTACCCTAACTTGTTGTGCCTACCCTAAACTTTTTAAGGCAATTTTCAAAGATGCACTGTTAAAGTCAAGAACATTCTCCAATATAAACCATATGGAATTATTATTAAAAATAAAACTTGTTACCTACTTACCTACCCTAACTTTTTCCAATGTGTTACTGGAAACATATATTTTGTCTGGCTTATATGGTATTATATAAGACACATCTACTTTCAAATGACAGGGTCTCAGGATTTACCTTGCCTCTACTTGAAATTTACAGTCAGGACATATACATTCACAACCATAAAATTATCTTTTAGTAAGTCAACATTATCACAGGACTGGCTACAGCTGTAAGGCAGTCCCTAATTATGGGTGAAGTTCAAGTCCAAACTATTCTTGATTAACCCCTGTAGTATCCCAATAAATGTCCCAGGAGTTGGACTAATAGGGGGAGGGGGCTGCAGAATTTAATCTTGAGTTTTATGTTAAACTAGGCAGTTTTAACTACCGGTAACTGAAATGAGGTCATTCCAATATAAAATACTCTACAACTCTACAATAAGAAAGCATGAGAGTACTTGCCAGTTAATTAAGATACAATGTGAAAAGATCAATATAATTGTGGTAGGATTCATTTGTGAGAAGTATGTACCACTTTGTTGATGTTCAGGGCATTCATTGTTATATCTATCAAATGATAGGTTTGTATTTTGTTACAGATTTGTGGAAAACTTTATATAATAAATATTTTACGATACAGGTTTTTTGTTGTGTTGCTTTTGCATATCTAGTCCATAGGAAGCAACGGTTTATAATTAAATGTCAAAGGAAGGAACATGTATTATTCGAGAGATACAAGGGCCTTTATTTCATAGAAATTATATAAAGATCTGAGAATTTGTTGCCCTTTTGATAGCTAGTTGCACATGTTGTTAGGACAGATAAACATCTGTCAATCTAATACAATGTAAACGTTGACCAGAGAATTTAATGAAAGGTGTAATATGATGCTTTCATCTTTTGTCAATGTTTTTTACAAAGCTATCTTTAACAAAAAAATACCTCAAACACCCTTGACTCCAGTGTGTGAAATAAGACAATCTTCAAAAAGCAAGGTACAGATGAATTTCAACAAACTTGATTTATTCAAATATATTTTTAAAAAATATAGTTATTTTTCTGTAACATTAGGATATTTTTGAACAAAAAAAGTTCATGGTTTACTACAAAATCAGATCCACGAAAAGTCCGGGCCAAAGTCAACCCCATCTCCTCCCCCTATGAAAAAACAATGCAAGATGCAAGATTTTTTTTTAAAAAAAAAACAATACCGAAATAAAGGGGCTCTAAATCAGCATTTTGGGTACCTGTCCTTCGATCTATCAGTATGTTTTACAAAAAGGAAAGCTTGGAATTCGAATTCCAGTTTATGAGTATCATGCTTACGCGGACAGCTGACCACACTGTGAAAGGTAAGCTACACCATGTAGTAATATAGGTAAACACTGCCGGTTTGCTTGTATGATTTAAACATTATAGGATGCTAAGAAAAGATATTTTGTTGAAGTTGGAGAAAATGAAGGTGTTTATTGGCTTTTGTATATTGAAACTGCAACTGGTGAATTCCTGTCGATTAATACACCAACAAACACTAGAGAATAACTCAATTAATTGTGGTCATCATCATGATCAGTTACTTCAAGAATAGTAAATGAAACATCCTGCAATGATAAAATAATTAAGTATCAAACTAACTACTCACAAAACGTACATAGCCCATCTAGATCACTTGTTTGCATACTATATCATACATTTATGATATTGATTATATATACATCATATCTACTCTGTATTTATGGTACGACGTGTTACCTGCTGACGAGCTAAATATACAATGCGTACAACAATAGAAACTACAAGTATAACAACAGGGCCGCTTACAAGTACACAAGTTCATGGTTATTGTCCGTATATCGTATTTTTGCACTTATCAAAATTCATTTAAAAGTGATACAGTATTTACGGTAATAAATCGAGAATTTATCCGGTATTCTATTTCCGACCGTATCGTCACTCAATATAAATTGAAAGCGGTGATTTAGAATTTGGACAGTAAATATTCGTGCAATTTAGCATCAATTTCTAACCTGGGCCCATATTCATGAAACCGTTCTCATGCTCAAGCATAAATTTGTGTTCCAGCCGAATTTCTTGTTCCCATTAAAAATTAATAAAAAAAAATCTTATTTTGTCATTGATTTGGAAAAACATTGAAGATAATTAAAGCCAAAACTGTTTTCAATGTTAACATTTGACTTTTTGATCATTTGACATGATAGTAAGCGAGTTACATGAAAGTCGGTTTGAGCACAGAATCCATGCTGGAGCATGAGAACGGTTTCATGAATACGAAGCCTGTTCTCACGCACGTCTGCTTCTAACGAATGTCAATTGTTGCGCCAAAAAGGTCGGTGACACAGACACAACAGAAATGCTAACCTTAAGGCCAAAATAATTATGAACATATAATAGTGCTAAAGATCGATAATACTTAAACCAGACAAATATCGTACCTGCCACAAGTGTAAGCATAAACGAACTTGCGTCCTTTCTTTTTCCTCCACGTATCCAGGCTACGTTTGTTTCGGGTAACCCACCTCTTTTTTCCTGAAAGTAACCAAGTCAGAAGTACTAGATACACTTCATCTGTTATGAATGCAGTTTTTGCGTCTCTGTACATCTCTCGGGCATAACCTTCGGATTGTCCTTTCTTGTCAGGTTAGGGGATACTTACCGATAAGAAAGTTGCGGAGATTTGTAAGTTAAACACTAGAAATACAAAGAAAGGAGGCCCTGATCTGATAATCCTTTTTGTTTCACAAACACATAATTTTTTTTTTTTTTTTTTTTTTTTTTTTTTTTTTTTTTTTNAGAAAGACAAATAAAACACTGAAACATGTAAAATATAACTATAAGGAAAGGTGCCTATGGAAGGTTTCAAACAAAGAGTTTCTTCTCTAGAAGAAGAGATAGAAATCTCAAGGATTCGTTCCTACTTACCTGTCAATCAACGCAACAATATAAAGGTAATGTCAACAAATATAAAGGTAGAGAAACATTTGTTTCAGAACAGAATTGGGCACAGCACAGCATGAATTACCACTGGAACGTTTGAAAATAATTATATAACAAAAGAACAATCAATTATGTAGGAAAACGGAAATTTTGCCGATTATAAAATGTTTTGTCATCCAAGAAACATAGTTAGGAAACAACTGAAACAAGGCAAACTTAATTTTAAAAAAAACTTATTTTATGAATAAAAATAATACGAAGCGATCAGTAGGAGGGAGAACCCATTGAAGACTGCCTTAAATCTCCGTCGGCGTCGGCGTCGTCCGTACAAGTGGTTCCGTGCGATAACGCTCTGAATGAAGGAATGTTTTGATTGTTTTGATTTTCATAAAACATTCTTAACAGACCTGAAGTATCAATTACCCGTTCAAGTTCTATCAATCTGAAAACCAACATGACCGCCAGTGACCATCTTGGATTTTGTTAAAAGTCGCATGGTTTCCGTGAGATAAATCCTGAATGAAAGCTTTGATTATCATAAAACCTTCTGCACATGTACAGGATATCATTTATCCGCTCAAGTTCGATTTTGACCCAAGTCTTTTAAAAGAAACATGTCCGCCATCGGCATCCACTTCAGTGGTTTCTTTTTACAATATAGCTACGTCTGAGCTTGTGGTAGAACCCTCCTCCTAGTCAAATATAATGCCATATATGTGATTCAGTTAATCAAGTCTTTGTCAAAAGAAATCCAAATCAATCGGAAAGTTCCACCCAAATCTTTTAAGAATTTATTTTCAATGAAAGGCTGGTCTAGATAATATTCCTGTAGATTTCTAATTGTTGTTTTATTTTTGTCCTTTTTTTTTATTTTGAAACATGCTGCTCATTTCATAAAAGTGACATTATATCTATATTGGCATCTTCTTCCAGGAGTTGAGGATATAACACATGTTGGTGTGATGTTGAACAATAATTTTAATAGTATGGAACGTACAGTACGCGCATGTACTAAGCTTATGAGTGGTGTCATGAGTTTAATTAAAAGTGGTGCTCATCCATGTGCATTAAATTCTTTAAAGATTAGTAAAATACTCAAATCAAAAGTATATGTTTCAGCCCTATATGGGTGTGAATATGGTATCTTCCAAAAACCGAAATTTTAATGTTAGAAAGAGCACAACGTTTTATTTTAAAGTCAATTCAAGTGTTCCATACAAGAACCCGTACAGATATGTGCACAGGCCTTCTATGGTGGTTAAGTTTAGAAGCATACATAGATACCAAGAAAGTATTATTGTTTGGAAGATTATGTAACCTGGAGAAAAATTGTATATCATATCTTGTGTTTTTTACTCGTCTTTTTATGGCAGTGAAAAGGTACCAATGTGTATAATAATGGATTTATGGATGAAGTAATTATAGAGTTCTAAAGAAATATGATTTATACATATTAGTACAAGAATGTTTATCAAATGGATTATTTCCAGTGAAAAGTACATGGAAAGCGAAAGCAAAGTATAATGTACAGTTACTTGTGTTTAAGCTTTGATTTTTAGTAATTTCTTAAAAATATTCAAGATTCAAGTTTTCCGTTTAATTATAATTAAGGCTTTGACCAACTTGGGTTAGATACTGGTATAGTATCAACTTGGAAACTGTGTATATAGTATATACACGTTTGTGTGTGTATGCTTTTTAAATGAATAATATCATAAAATTACTAGTGTTATTTTTATTCATTCGAATGCGCCTCTATAATGCAGCCTCGTTTTGGGTTAACTATCCTTCACCTTTAACAACGTGGAGCGGATAATTTGAGCAGAAGAATAACATTATTACTGTTGATTTTAATGATCGTATGAGATTGCAGACGTCGATGGAGACACCATTTAGTATAACTACGAAATCGCCAATCGACGCCAGTCGTTTACAAACGGGCAAATCTGGTAAGTCCACTTAAGTTACAAATCCTCCATCTCTTGTTCGTCCCTCATCACCTGGCTGATTCAGCGACTGGCAACTGTCATTTACGGTCGATTTGTCAATGAAAGTATATTAAAGCAGTGTTCTGTGAGCATTATTGACAAAATAATATGTGTATGGTAACTTTGATTTTTTCGTGTATTTTTGTCAAAAAAAATAAACTTATACTTTGGTAACTTCGTCTAGATGGTGGCCTTATAATTAGGGCCTATCCGGTTTTGACGGATGCTAACGTTAAATGTCCCATCTTTTTACAAACCTCTGTACTACTTAAAGACGACTGTTTATTTTCATTTGAGTGTTCTGGGATATTACTTTTTCAATGTCTGTTATTGATGTATCATTTTTTATGTATAAGTGATATAAATGCTGTAACTACATGTGACCATGTGACCAAGATCTCATGTTCAGTCCCATTGTAACAGTGTTGTGTCATTGCTAAGAATAGTAACATTCAAAAGCGACACCTTCTTATTCATTTTAGTAACATCCTAGTAATGAAATAGACATTATGCAGGTAGGCAGATTATTTTATTTTACAAAAGTATTTTAGAAAGTTTTTTAATAAAACTGAGAGGCATGAAAAACTAGGATAGGTATATAGCAGGAATGGTTTTTTGGGCCTAAAGATAGGTTACCATTGATTTTTGGCAATATTTGTTATCTATTGGAAAGGTATGTGTAGAAAGTGTTTCAGTGTCAAGGGTACGACTATTAAATGACATCGTTACTACCGGTAATCAATTTGAGAAAGAAAATCAGTATTTAATTATAGAGCCACTTCATCCATTAAGTTTCTATACATTATTATATATGATATCAGACTTGTACTTTCTACACAAACAATGTACGTAGTAAACATGTCGCAACTTTTTCAAGCTAAAACGTGTTTGTTTTCCTGTTAACTGGCAGAAAACTTCAGGGTAGGTTCATAGTATTCGGAGAGTGATCTTGACTTCAACAGTGCTTTCTTGAAAATCACCAAGAAAGTTTGGATAGGCACAACAAATTTGGTTATGTAGGGTAACCAGAAACAAACAACATTTTTCATTTGGCCTTAACATGAAATACTACATGCATAAAGGTTTGGTTTGTTGTTTTATGTTGGGTAGTTATTTTTGTTATTTCAATCAGCTGATTCAGGAACGGTTATTAAAACAGATCATGTACTGTAGTACCAAAAACTGTATACAAAGTCAGGTAAAACAACCATATTATTTCTCAAAACAAAAAAATAAAGGACAGATATTAACTGTAAAATAATTATACAAAATTCTGAAAGAAGAAAAAGAGAATACCTAGATTGATTATGACAGCTTTGTGGTAAAATAAAACGGGCAGGTATGGAGTAATCAACATCACAGTAAATATTTACGTAGATCAAATGAATAAAGGTTGACATCAGGTTTGGGATGGCTGAGCCATGTCAAACTATCTTTGTTGTATGCGCTGGATGGAGGCCAGCGATCCAAAACATCTGTACTCTGTACATATATGGGCTTTGATGTTTAAAAACCTTTATTATTGACCTACATTTTGTTAAGGTAGATGCTGAACCTGTACTATTCATCACATAAGATCCTTCAGTACATACTACATGGTATTATAGATCTCTTTTAATTACATTGGTAAAAGTTGGGTCCCAGCTACAACTTTTCACATAAAGTTAGATGAGCTCCAAGGTCAGTTTTCACATGTTTCACACACACAAAAGCTATAATTAAAGCTGAACATTGCAAGTAGATGATAACAGAAGTGTCTGGAGTGAAAAGCTTTTAGAATAAAACTGTTTGCCTTGTGCTTTGTAGACCAATTGCAATTATTGTGTGCTTGCCAATGTTTAAAATTTTCATGAGACACTCTGTGGTAAAATCTATAAACGTTGAAAAACTACTTGCAATATCATTTGACAAAAAAATAGTGCAGTGTAGAATGTCAAAGATGAAGCTGTTCAATAAAATGCATTGATTTTGAGCAAAAACAGGATGTAGGGAGTTCTGCTGTCTAATTAAAAAGTCAGAAATGAGTGTAAAAAAAAAATGGTGACAGTTTGACAAATATCACATGTACTGTAGTTAATGCACATTACCAATTACCTGGTTGTACTGCAAGTGGGCTTGGTATCAATTTTGGTCTTTAAAGATAGTAAAATGTTGAGGTAATTGATTTTTAGCCCACCATCATTTCTCGGGAAGTGTCAAAGGGATCTTTCTCAAATTTTATATGAAAGTTCCCCTTAGTCCATAGCTGTGTAGGGCATTTTTTGAGATTGATCGGATAAACAACATGGCCGACAGGCAGCCAACTTGGATTTTGATAGTGAAAGTTTGTTATCGCTATTTCTCAAGAAATACCAAAGGGGTCGTTCTCAAATTTTATATGCAGGTTCCCCTTGGTCCTTAGCTGTGCAGGGCATTTTTTGAGAGTGATCGGATAAACAACATGGCCGACAGGCAGCCATCTTTGATTTTGATATAGAAAGTTTGTTATCGCTATTTCTTGAGAAGTATCCGAGGGATCTTTCTCATTCCCCTTGGTCCTTAGCTGTGCAGGGCATTTTTTGAGAGTGATCGGATAAACTTCAGTATACTCTTGATCTACCATGCATTGATCTGGATGAGTCCATTATGGTCTATAGTGGTGAAAAGGTTAAGTGAAGTTTTCGATTTCAATATTTTGAAAAATTTGTTAAGAAATTGGAGTATCTTTGTGTACATTTTATCTAGAGCTGTCTGATTATTTTGAATTCCAGGAAAGATATACATACATAACTTCAGTTGTAATAATTATGAAAATATCACCAATTTGAAATTGTAAACATTGGTAAGCTAACAGTACTTCCACAGAATCTTAATCGTTTTGTATAGAAGTCTGTAATCAAACATGCTCCATTGTCATTTAGCTTCTGCAAAAACTAATAATCCCAGACAAGCAAAATAAATTGTGGGATTCGTGTTGGTCTAAAACTGCACAATGTTCTTTTGTTACTGTTAAATCGAGCTTTTTTTACATTCCTGTCTGGTATATGTTGATAAAGACAACTACGTATGTTCTAAACCCATTGTAATGTATACATATTGGGCACATGATATATGATGTATATGATACATTGTAGCATTAATTGACAATTTGCCACCAAGATATCATCAACTGTACATGTGTGTTCTGATGTACAGGTTATTGACACTAGAAGAGCAAAATTGCAATAAAAGTTGTGTTGTTGTAGTGATCTGCATACAAATCTGATATATGTATATATGATATATAATCTGTATAGATATTTACATGTAGCTATAGCTGAAGGTGATTCAAAGACCATAAACTAGAGTTTTACCAGTCTTACAACCACAAAGCAACAGGATACATTTTTTTCTCTGATTGAATTAAAAAAAGAAATAAATGTCATTACAGGACTGAATTAATGAATTTGTAATGTTTATATATATTAAGAAATAATTACACTTATGTAAATTGTAGAGAAAAGAACTATAAAAATAGCTTCAGTTTGAATATGTTACAGATTTGTCATGTTCCGTGGTATTTACATATATATATGTGATCACATATTGATACATTTTCACTGTAGTTTTTACTTAGTTTATTTGTTATGTTTAGTTAATCATCTACACATACCTATGTACATATAATGTCATTATATTATTAAACCGTATTTAATTATATGTTTCTGCTCTATACTTAATGTATTATGTTCAATTAAGAAATACCGGATTAGTGAACAAATATCATGGTATTGTATAGATGGCTAGTGTATTTTGACCTGTACTGTGATGTGACATGTACCCTGTGGTACAAGTGTATACCATTATTGTCATTTGTCCACATCGGATGTACTTAGCCTTTTAGTATTAGATTTATGTGATTTTTTAAATTGTGTTTGATTGTTTTGTATGGTCATGAATAGACAGTATTTCTGAAGTACACAGTTGTCATTGTTGGTAGGGTGATAGTTTGCTGTCCATGGTGTTCCAGGTCCTTTATTCTAGGCTTATTTCCTGTTAGTAAAATTGTCTGTAGTTTTATAAGACAAGGTCAAGTGATAAGTTAGGTACAGTTTTCTAATCCATATAGCATTAACAAAGGGCAAGTTATTACATTGTATGTATTGTAGGTATGACCAGCATCACTTCAGTACCTATCTACTCACGCTTGTATATAAACACCAGTTGTAGTCCACGGGCCAGTTGCCAACATGTTACATACATTTTGTTGTAGTAAATGCAATCTGATTAAAATCATCTGTTACATGGCTCCGCCTGAACATCTGAATGTGCTGCGGTCAGGGTCACGTTCAGGTGACCTTTAGATGAACCAATCAGAGGGGCGCTGGCAAAAGTTTGCCAGCGAATCAGAATATCATGGTTGATAGATAAATAGCGAGGGGTATCGAACAGATTAGTTTTACAAAACAAATATGGCGGCGGGAACTGATGTTTCTTCGACGCCAAGGAAAACCTACCCATTGGGTAATAATTGCGTAGGCAACACCACCATACAGTCTTTCTTCTCTAATAAAGCTTCGATTTATTTTCTGTTCGGGTTTCAGACGATCAATCTCAAATAACTTCAAAATTTAATGAGTATTTATAAATATAAAGGTCACCTGAACGTGACCCTGACCGCGGCACACTCAGATGTTCAGGCGTAGTACGAAGTTAACGAAGTCATGTAACATATGATTTTAATCAGATTGTAGTAAATGCATATGGTGTGTATAGGGAAGTAAGAAAAATGTCCTGACTTTATACATATTGTTGTCTGTCTTGTAACTAGAAGTGTGTACTTTATAAAGGTATACTCTGTTAAGTAGCTGTACTGATTCAAAGAAGATGTGATCAACATTTTGTGGTGTCCAGAACCAGGCTATGTCAACTAATTAACATTCTGGCCAAAAGGTAAAGATTTGTCAGTTTGACCATGAAGCTTGTGTTGTGGTTGATATTGG